AGTGGCTAGCGATGGACAATACTTTCAATAATGTATTAATTCATTTTATCATTCAAATAAATGTGTTTTTCAAGCAAAAAAACGGACCGAATTAAGTTGTACACCCAATAGATTAATAAAGTTTTTAATATATGATATCAGGACCTTGAATAAGTTCTCGCTGTTTTCCAACAGATGGCGTTACCAGAACTGCGTGCGTGTAGTTTAAGATGGTAACGCATCTATAAGGAACTACTATAAGCAAGCTTGAAATTCAGTATATGTCATTTCGCCGAAGTGTAAGCAACTTTTTTTTCATCGTGTTAAACATGTCAAGTTTCGTGCCAAAAAAGAGTATTTGCGGGGAATTTTACTGCATTACTTTATTAAAAAAAAATCTGCAGCTGAAGCACACAGAATTCTTGTTGAGACTCACGGCGACTATGCTCTGTCAGAAACAAAATGCAGAGATTGGTTTAGACGCTTCAAAAATAATGATTTTGATATTGAAGATAAAGAACGCTCTAGTGCACCGAAAAAGTTTGAAGACGAAGAATTGAAGGCATTATTTCATGAAGACTCATGTCAGACGCTAGCTGAACTTGCAGCATCATTAGGAGTTGATCATACAACAATTTCGAAACGTTTGAAAGTATTAGGAATGATTCAAAAGCAAGGACATTGGGTGCCGTACGAGTTGAAGCCGAGAGACGTCGAACGGCGTCTTTTCACGTGTGAACAGCTGCTTCAACGGCAGAAAAGGAAAGGTTTTTTGCATCGTATCGTGACTGGCGATAAAAAGTGGATACACCTATTCGATAATCCTATACGTAGAAGATCGTGAGGTAAGCCCGGCCATGCATCAACATCGTCGGCAAAGCCGAATATCCATGGTTCGAAGCTTCTGCTCTGCATTTGGTGGGATCAGCTGGGTATAATTTATTATGAGCTGCTCAAACCGAACGAAACCATCACGGGAGATCGCTATCGACTACAATTGATGCGTTTGAGCCGAGCAGTGAAGGAAAAACGGCCGCTATATGAGCAGAGACATGACAAAGCGATTTTGCAACATGACAACGCTCGGCCATATGTTGCACAACCGGTGAAAACCTACTTGGAAACACTTAAATGGGAAGTCTTACACCACCCGCCGTATTCACCAGACATTGCCCCTTCCGATTATCACTTGTTCCAATCGATGGCACATGGCCCGGCTGACCAGCACTTCCATTCTTATGAAGATGCCAAAAAATGGGTCGACTCTTGGATAGCCTCAAAAGACGTATCGTTTTTCCGACGTGGAATTCAAATGCTGCCAGAGAAATGGGAAGAAGTAGTGGCTAGCGATGGACGATACTTTCAATGTCATGTTCTTTACGACTTTTTTAAAATAAAGCATTAATTTTCACAAAAAATCAGCGAAAAGTTATTCAAGGTCCTAATATATAAGGTGTAGTAAAAAGAAATCCATTATTTTTGCATGAAATTGAACGCTTTATTTAGCATAGTCAGCATAGAATGATCCGATTTAGGTCAAATATGCACCGTTTTGTTCGATAACTTGATGCCATTTTGAAGGTAATTCCATTATGCCTTTCTCATAGAAACCCTTGTCCCTATTGGCAAAAAAACTGGGACAGTCGATTTTCACAAGCTTCTATTGAGGCGAATTTTTCACCTACAAAATCATTCGCCATAGACAAGAACAGGTGGTAATCACTTGGTGCCAGGTCCGGACTATAAGGTGTATGCATAAGAACCTCCCAACAAAGCTCCCAGAGCTTTTGGGAGCTTCTGAGTCACTATCGATGTGTGTGGCCTGGCGTTGTCCTGATGGAACACAATTCCTCTCCTATTGGCCAAAGCTGGCCGCTTCTGGGCGATTGATTCCTTCAAACGGTCCAATTGTTGACAGTACAGGTCCGAATTAAGAGTTTGGCTGTAAGGGAGCAACTCACAGTAGATGATTCCCTGCCAATCCCACCAACCACACAGCAAAGCCTTCCTGACCGTCAATCCTGCCTTGGCCACCGTTTGCGCCGGCTCACCGCGTTTCGACCACGACCGTTTTCGCTTGACGTTGTCGTAAGTGACCCACTTTTCATCACCAGTCACCATGCGCTGCAGAAATGGATCGATTTTGTTGCGATTCAGCAGCGATTCGCAGATGGAAATTCGGTACATGAGGTTCTTTTGCGTTAACTCGTGTGACACCCATACATCGAGCTTCTTTTTGTATCCAGCCGTATTCAAGTGGTTTCAAATGGTTTTTTGTGCAATGTTTAGCTCCTGGGCAATCGAAACAGTGCTTACATGACGGGCGGACTCGACGATTTCCATTATTTTATCGACATTTTCGACAATTGGCCTTCCAGAGCGTGGTGCATCTTTGACATCAAAATTACCGGAACAGAATCGACGAAACCAAAATTGCGCGTGATTGGCTGTTAGTATCAGGACCATAAACACTATTCATATTTTCAGCCGCCTGGCTTGCGTTTTCGCCTTTATCGAAGAAAAACTGTAAAATATGGCGTATTTTCTCTTTGCTGGTGTCCATCTTTGACGCGCGCTCAAACAATACTGAGTCAAATAATCACAAAACTGTCTGAGAAGTTTTTTTAGTACGAAATCTTATCTTTTTAACGCCATCTAGCGTAAACCGATCGCACTTATACAACGCGAAATACACATTACTAAAGCCATCTATTGTATAATCTAATAATGGATTTATTTTTACTACACCTTATAATTAACATCTGTATTATTCACTTATGGTTTCTATATACTACAGGGTGAATATTATATACCGGAACACCTGAATATCTCGAAAACAAAGCGTTGTATAAAAAAATGTTAAATACAAACGTTGTAGGGTTTAAAAAGATCTATTTTATGATATTAGCAGTTTGACCTTGAGTTGCGTCATAAAGATCAGGTCAAGGTCACAATGATGTTTTTAAATGGATACCCCCATTTTTTATTGTATATTCTTGTAGCTTATCTCGAGAGCTTTCCAAAACACTATACTTAAGTATTTTTTCGTTAAGTACTTTTCGAGTTAAGAGGCTTCAAAGTTACGCTCTTTAGCATTAGCGCGCGGCCGATTAAGGCAAGAGGAAAATCATATCCGGCCGATTAAGGTAAGCTAAGGCAGAGAAAAACGTAAACACAAGCGCGGTAAACGAGAGCTGCCCTTGCGTTTACGTTTTTTAGGCCATCAGCCTTACGCTATTTACTATTAATACGAGCGCGCGTTCGTGCTCGTCACTACGGTATCCACGCGCGCTAATGCTAAAGAGCGTAACTTTGAAGCCTCTTAACTCGAAAAGTACTTAACGAAAAAATACTTAAGTATAGTGTTTTGGAAAGCTCTCGAGATAAGCTACAAGAATATACAATAAAAAATGGGGGTATCCATTTAAAAACATCATTGTGACCTTGACCTGATCTTTATGACGCAACTCAAGGTCAAACTGCTAATATCATAAAATAGATCTTTTTAAACCCTACAACTTTTGTATTTAACATTTTTTTATACAACGCTTTGTTTTCGAGATATTCAGGTGTTCCGATATATAATATTCACCCTGTATATACTTTTCCTTACAACTGCAGGCGTAGCATATGCAGGAAACTAGTGTCAAACTCAATCGAAGTGCAAGATTCAAAAGAAATATTGACATCCGCAGAAACAGGATTAATAGCCGGAACAGAAAATACGGAGAAGACACAGCAAGATTTTTTAAACGCATACCGCTTGCGTTAGGTCTGTCCATAAAATCTGTTGCTACAAAGTGAACACCACAGATTATATAGCTTTTTTGCGTAAAGTTTTTCCGATAACATCGACCCACGTTTTTTAAATATTTGGTCGATTCATAGGAAATCTGAAATATTTAGAAATTTTAATTGAAACAGCCTTCAAATATTACAAAACCCTCATATTTATTACATGTAAATATCTTCAACTTACCTGAATAAATTAAAACCATCTTTTGTAGTGTTTTTACATTTCGGAATGCAACAACTGCTCGGAATTTTAATGTATTTTCAGTTATAAATATCACCGCGCTATATATATTAATATGCCGGGTGTTATATATGCACTATATAGGGTGCGTTCGGAGAGCTCGCTATTAGCACTATTCAGCGCTACCGTGTCATTCTGTCCTTGTTGTACATCTAAGGAGCGAGAAAGATAGAAGAATGTAGTAGTGATGATAGCGTGCTCCTCGAACGCACCCATACACGCCATCGCCATTTTGTTGTAAGGTATCATAGTTGGATCCGGATATTCAGCCGGATAGCGACGGCTAAAACCTTCAGAAAGTCACTCAGGAGAGTGACTTCTATAACATAGTATGTCAAAGTCAAGGTCATCTGAGGGTGGTAAAACTCCTAAACAGGAGTTTCACCTAAATTATATTAAAACATAGAGTATTAATGTACGTAAATTATAACATATATATATATATATATATATATATATATATATATATATATATATATATATATATATATACGCGCGCGCGTGTATATTATAGAGAAGAAAGTAAGTTTACATGCTCAATACTATGTCCATTCTTTAATAAATGCTTTATAATTTTAAAAGTATTTCAAATTATTTAAATTGTATCATACCTAAGTGTAACGTAATTAAGGCTTGGGCAAGGACCATTTGACCACATCTCAGCATACAACCCCAGCCTTTGTCAGATGTAAACGTAGAACTGTTGCCGCCAATAGGGACAAAGCCTTTACGATATGTAAACCAAAGTTTGGATCGAATATCTCTGCGTATCGTGTCGAGCTCTAAAATTAAACATTTTAAGATTCACTTTGACAAAAGTATTTAATTATCTATTATACCTTGTATAGCGTTATACTTTCTGCCAAGAATCCAGACTGGCTCATCGGTCTGCGGTATATCTTCCGCTTCATCGACAACATTTTGGGTGAATAAAGTATCCATTGTTACTGCTCTCTTACAGGTAATTCCTAAAAATCGCAAGATCGACTATAGTAATATTAAACTTACAAAAAACTTTACCAAAAACCCGTATACTACCGTACTAAAATATTACCAAAAAATAAAAAGTTGACTAATTGATTCGTTCCAGACACAATCTACTAAAACATATGTTAAAGACGTCCAAAAAACGTCCTATTTCTTTTAAACGTCTTCCGGACATCTTTAAAATATCTTTTAGTACTTCATGTTGCATGAATTGTTTCTCTCGTCAAATAAAATTCAGTAAAAATGAAATAAAATTTTAATAATGACTACGTCAAAGCGAGGATTTGAGAAAAACCTTAACATCGGGTTTAAAAAATTTAGCGTGACCAGATTGTATTACGAATAACATCCGTGTATAACGTATCGTATTATAATTTATATTTAAAGTGTAAAATTAGATTTATACAAGATACCTTCCGCATTATTATAGGAACATAGAATAGATTGAGAGGTGAACATAAAAATCCCATACCGTTTTGCGAATTCCACGAAATTTCGAGATATTAATTAAAGAAGATTAGTGAATGATCATGGTAAATGAGTTGTAGTGATGCCGTCTGCCGTTGTGTACTTATACATTAAGTCAAACTAAACAAAAAAGTCCTCTAGCATTTTACAAATTACCACATAGATTACATTATACATATATAAAAGTTATTTTCTCTCTCTTCCCCTTCTCTTCTCCCTTATTCTTTAGGATTGTTTTAGGATTATATATAGCATGAAAATATAGGAAAAGATTGTCTCTGTCGTCAATGTTTAGTCAATCATAAGAATTAATTAATCAAAGATGAATCCACGCGGCGCAAACTCGGAAACCAAATCTAATATGCATGGACACCGCGAAAGCCTAAAAAATCAAATCAAGTACCTCCACGGGGAGACTATTCTTGCTAAAGTTAACTCCTTTAGCAAACTCAGGTCATCCTTACCAAAACACTTTTCAACCCTAGCTTTTCTAAAAAGATGTAAGGACAACAACATCGTCCCAAAGTTCCTACAACTAAAAAACCATCTGGGCACGAAGAAAAACAACATTCTGTAGAAAACCGCAGCCTTGCTAGTAAAGGAACGTATCTCATACATAAAAATAAAGATTAGTAAAATTTCCCAAAAACTTTTCCAACTGCACCTTTCCTTAGCCTCAACCCTTTGACCAGACTTATGGCTCATACTGAACCACATAACGTATGAACAATCCCAAATCACTTACGTACAATCATCCCAACGACAGACGGAAAAATATCACAAACTAACACCACAAAAAACAGTTACCTCTCCTCCACTAAACACAGTAAAAAACCTATCCAACAAAGCCTTCTCCTCAGAAACCATTTCCGCCCTTCACAAAGGATCAAATTTTGCAATAGCTCCAACTAAAATACCAAAAGAAGAAATAATCAGTCAGATAGAATCCTCCCTGTTTCTACTCCCACAAGAACAATCCAACAATGTCCGTTGGTTAATAGTCAACATACTACAGAAATCCAAACTACCAAAACAGAATCTGACCAAACCGGAACAGTACGCTCTAAGACAACTAAATCAGGATATCATCATCCTTCCAGCGGACAAAGGTAACACAACAGTAATAATGAATAAAGAAGACTATAACAAGAAAATACAGGAACTCCTCACAGACGATACCTACCAGAAACTGAAGAAAGACCCCATCCAATCGTTAAAAACCCAAACAACGAATCTTATAAAGAACAGTACTCTTCTAGACAAAACAAAAACCATCCCAATCCCAAAAAACGCAATACTTCCAAGACTATACGTCCTTCTCAAGATCCACAAAATCAACATACCACTCAGACCTACAGTGATCGCCACAAACTCCCCAACATACAAACTGGCACGCTTTTTAATTAGTAAACTGAAACCTGTCAGCAAAAACACCCCTTACATGGTCTCGGCGGATTTCATACAAAAGATAAAAAAGGATCCAACTTCAACCAAACGACATCCTGGTAAGTTTCTACGTATCATCCTTATTCACGGAGGTCCCAATTCCAATTCCAGACACCATCAAAATAATCAAGACCTCAAAACAAATCCCTTCCGATCTTATCCCCCTAATCGAACACTACCTGACCAATACATATTTCAGCTACAATAATCAATTCTATAAACAAATTTCAGGTGCAGCCATGGGATTCCCAATCTCTCCAGTCATAGCTAACATTTCATGGCACATTTCGAATCTCAAGTCATCCAAAAGTGCCAGTTGAAACCCCGAATATGGCTCCGATATGTAGATGACACTTTCGTCATCTGGCAACACGGAAAAGAAAAACTCCAGGAATTCCTACATGCGTTTAATACACAACATTCCAACATTACATTCACAATGGAAGTCGAACAAAACAACAGACTCCCTTTCCTGGATGTCCTAGTCACGAGAAGAACAAATGGCTCGCTGGGTCACCAAGTTTACAGGAAACCTATACACACCAACCGATATCTCCATGCCGAATCACACCATCACCCAGCTCAAAAACAATCGGTTCTCGATTCGTTAATACACAGAGCATTAGCCATCTGCGACAAAAACAGCATCCAAAGCGAAAGAATCTCAGGAACACTCTTCAAAATAATGGCTACATGGCAACACAGATAAATAAAACAATCAGGAAATATCAAACCAGAAAACATCAAAACACACGGACTGAACAACTCCAGGAACAGACAAAAGAACGAAACTCCATCACCATCCATACATACAGGGAATTACGGACAAAATTGGCAAAATCCTGAAAAAACACAATATTAAAACTATCTACAAACCACCAACAAAAATAGGACAGTATCTGAACTACCCAAAAGACAAGACACTCCTGGAGTATATAGTGTCCCCTGCTCTTGTGGCAAAGTCTATATAAGAGAAACCGGGAGAATGGTGAACACACGTATAAAAGAACATCAAAGCGTAGTCAAATTGAAAAATGTAACGCAGTCAACACTAGCGGAACACAATCTAGAAAGCGGACACGAAATCCTGTTCAACGAAATAACAATACTGGCCAAAATCAACAACTACTTCCCTAGAAAATACAGGGAATTCTTGGAAATTCAAAAGCACCCCAACAATCTCAACAGGGATAATGGACAAAAAATCAGTCCAATCTGGCAATCCGTCCTCCCGGTTTTCAAAACATGACAGACAACAAATTTCCCACCACCATCCCATCTGCTACCCCTTCCTTCTTCCTTCCTGTCTCCTCCCCTCTCTCCCTTATACCAACTGCTATATAAGGAAGATCTTTCAGGAGCAACTTGGCATCGGGTCGTTCCTCTCTGATGAAGCGGATTGAAATGTTCGCGAAACGTCGGAATCAAACAAAGATGAATCCACGCGGCTCAAACCCGGAAACCAAATCTAATAAGAATTAATTAGTTGAAAAATTTTTGAACACTCTGAAATCTTTAGAAGTGTGGAATCCCATATAGGGTTTGCCGGACTTACAACAAACAGGAGCTATGGCACTTATCTGACAGGTGGAGTCTGTCAGGAGTGTCTCGATTGACCACGGTACGATTGGACACAACCAACCGATGAAAAGAATTATCTAGTGAATTACTAGGTCGAACCAATCATTACAATCTGTGTCCAATCGTATCGTGGTCAATCGGGTCCCATCCGAGTTTGTCAGCCAGTACTGGTCGATGCTTGGTCATTGAAGTTTGGTGTTATAACGAGCGCCGACACTTGATCAATGTACAGCGACCAATTATGAACCAGAGTTCTGTCAGCCAGTACTCGGCCAGTACTGGTTGATAATTGGCCATTGAGTAGTCTGGCATTATAATGAACATCAGTACTTGCCTAACGTACGGCGGCAAATTATAAACCAAAATTCTGTTAGCCAGCACTCGGTCAGTACTGGTCAATGCTTGGCCATTGAACAATCTGGTGTTACAATGAGCGCCGACGATTGGCCAAAATACGGCGACCAATTATGAACCACAACTTTGTATGCCAGTACTGTGTCACTATTAGTAAATGAATAATTATCTATATTACTCAGCATAACCCGGCGAGACAATGAGGCTGCTGTGAAGCTCTGAAGAAAGAGAATATCGATCTAAAACTAAACAGTAGTACTGTAAGTACAAATATAGGATAACGTCGGAATAACCAGAAACCGAAAAATGGTAGATAATAATGATTGATAGCGATGATATATAACAGGCTTACAAGCACTGGCGCATCGCTGGCCCCACACTAAAACCAATGTACCATTACTCATATACGATTTGCCGACTCTAGCCCAATGTCGGCATATGGGTCGCCCCTGGCGATATCATGGCAAGCCGATTATTATTTTTTCGATTGTGGCGCGACGCCAGTCCAAGCAAGGCTTGCCGACTATTGTTGGTGATATTGTCTCTCTACATAGAAATATCTAATAAACATATATAATAGATCTATAAATCTATGGAACATCTATGTTTATTGAAGATATTATCTAGTGTGTGTGTGTGTGTGTGTATGTGTTTGTGCGTATGCGTGTGCGTGTGTGTGTAAATATTTCTATAAATGTTATACATGAAAAATAATTATTAAATTAATGAGGAAATAAGAAAATCAAAATTTGAATTAGGAATGTACACTGAAAATAAATTCTTTAAATTAAAGAAATATATTTTGTTAAATATAATTTCTTTAAATTAAAGAAATATATTTTGTTAAATATAATTTCTTAACTAAAAAAAATATTTGTTAAATTTTACAAAACATGTAATAAATATAAATTAATATTTTTTAAATTTAAGATGAGCTGTAAAATTATGAATTTCTAGATAAAAAAATTATTTCTTTAATTTAAAATATCTATATATAAGAATAAGCAAATAATTTCCTTACAAGAATATTAGTTTTTTAAAATGTAAAAATATTATATATATTATATAAATATTATACTATGTTTAAATAAATATTTGCTTGTTTTAAAAGTAAATAATGTTGTGCCCTAGT